GCATAAAGTGAATTTGTGAATGACTGGATTTTTGCTCCTGTAGTAATAATTGGTCATTCAGAGGCAGATTCTTCTACAGAAAACATCTCATTTTTGTTCATGAACTAGCCACTTTACAGCTCAGAACTGTTTCTGATGCCCACAGTAAACTGTGTATGACCTTCGAAGAAGCAGAAGACAGTAAGTTAGCATTCAGTAACCCTTTTCGTCTTCATACAAGCAAGGCCCTTATAAAATAAGGAAGCATTGTTATACACAGTTTAAAGAAGGGTACCTAAAACAAAGTGGTGAGAAGCAGTGTATTTATACAGCTAGCAGGAGGAACTCATGCTCCTAAAGCCTTTCAGCTTCTTAAAAAAACTTAAACCAAAGTAAGTTGCCTATTGTTCTGAATGGCAACCCTTGTTAAAGTTTAAAAAAAAAAATCCCAGTAACTTCAGTAGAAAAGAGTAAGCTCTTAGTCCAGAAAAAGATCTGAGAAATCCAAGCCATCAGATTTCATGATAGATTTACTCTGTAGCTAAATGCTAATTACTTTTATCTTAACATCACACATCAGGAGGAGAGAGATTGCTGTGAAAAACAGGGATGTGTGGAAGTTGCAGTGCAGTCAGCCTGGCCTACTGACAGATTGACTCTTCAAGTATTAAAAATAGTAGTTCTAAGGAATCTTTCGCACTCGTTCTCAATTAACAGATGCTTGTAAAATAAAACCGATAGCACTGGTAAAGAAGTGAGGCATAAGCCATGACAGACTTTTGAATTTGTAAAGGATAGGTGGAGGTACAACCAGCGTTTACTTGGAAGCTAGACTTATGTTTGGTGGGTTACTTCCCCCCCCCCCCCTTCTTTCTTAAAAAAAGGTTTTTCAATGTGAATCAGCTATGAAACCTTTCTAGCTCTTAAATTTCTGCCTAGTGTTTTCCTCTCCCAGCAAAAATGAGGTTTGGCTAGAGAGAAAATACACTGCTTCATTTAATACAGACTCTTTAATTCCATTTGCATAATAAAATTTATCAGTTTGGGGCTTTTATAGAAAAATACAAGGACTGATGTGAGTGCTATTCAAGTAATCAAAAATATAACAGTGATTGTATCAAGTATTTGAAAAGCTTGAGTTAAAATGAATGAACTCTTGAAATCAAAGGGGGAGAGTATTTCATGTTTCACAGATGCTCTAACTTCTTGGAAGTTCTGAAATGACCTACTAACTTGTAAGTGTTGGGAGGTTTCCCCTCTTTCCCCTACATCAATTTTTTTCTGAACTACTTTTCAAGTTCTGTGTCAGCCAACCAGTTCGTGCTTCTTGTTTGTTTTTTTGTATGAAAAGACTTGTGTTCTGCGAAAGGTTCTACCTAAAAAGTAACGTGTTGATCCAAAAAGGGGAGGTGGAGAGTCAAATGTTTGTACTTATGAACACCTTCTCTCTCATGTTTTATTGGGTGATATTCACATTAAATGATGGAGTTAAAAGAGATTGTGGTCATTAATTGTCCAAAGCTCTTGCAATAGACGAGAAAGCCTTTTTAAGCCCTAGAATGACAATGAGATGTACGTGTGTCATCTTGATCCTAAATCCAGCTACATGAGTTTTCAGGGAGCACATAATTTAATCGTAAATGCTGTTGAATCTGTTTTGATCTTCATATGCAGACTTAAATGATAACTTAGTCAGAGAGGCATGTTATGTTTAAAAGCAAGTTAGATTTTTTTCTTTTGCTCATCTTTTCTTTCCTTTGTTTGCTTTCCTTGCCTTGCCCAGTTAATGGAACACCAAGCAGTCAGTTATCCACTCCAAAATCTACCAAGTCCTCCAGTTCTTCACCAACCAGCCCAGGCAGCTTTCGTGGACTCAAGGTAAGTACCAGGACCATCAAAAAAACTGAATTCTTTATTCATTGACTAATGTATTACAGTGGTGCTCCAGAACTAATAACTAAATAAAAAGGGATCCTGATTCTATAGGACAGGCTTGCTAGTATGGTTGTTGAGCTGAAGTGGAAAAGAGAGCTAAAATAAAGTTTTATTTTATTTTGTATTTGGTTTGCAGGATGAAACCCTCAGCTTAGGGAACGAGGAGAGTGATGGTGGCTTGCATTTGCCCATTTGTCCTTCAACTTTTTGTTTCTTGGACTGAGAAATCCCCCCAAGTAATTTATGCTCTTTTAGCCTATATAAATGTAGCATCCTCTCCTGTAGGCCTTAAACTCTTTCGCATTGCCCCAAATTTCCTCTGAAGCACTCTTCTCATCTTGTGGCACACCACTTCATGCAATTTACTGCCTGAAAGCATGTGAGGAGAGGCTCCTTTGTGAGCAACCAGACATCTGGCTGAGATTTTTCTCTGTGGTGCACCAGGGGAATTCTCTTCCTTTCCCACTTAAGAAATGGTAGCATGTGCAGTTCTTAGAGGCTATTCTGTGTCTTTTGCTTGGTAAAACAACAACAACAAAAAAAGGCTTGGAGCAGAACAGAGTATCTTACTGCTTCATTCTTGCAGCTGTCCTTTCAAGGGGAATTTTCCTATGATACTATCAATTGCAGCCTTTCTGGAAGCACAGTGGAGGATTTTCTCTGCAATTATTCTGATCAAGTCATATCTCCTCTTGGTGAACAAAACAGTTGTGAAGAGGCTGCATAATTTTATGGAAAACTGTTATCTCAATTAAGAGACCAGCAAAAGGACGTGATTAGAATAGTATTTAGATTTGCGTTTTGACATGCTAATTGTTACTGCGTCTTTGTCTGTTTTGCCTGGTATATTGCATGTGTTTCTGCAGGCTTCTGTGATAATCCTGAGAAAAAGATTTTGATGTTTGATAAATTCTAGTATATTTTGACTTGTTTGGTTCGTGGTGGCTATTTAGTGTCAATCTCTGCCATATGTCACTGAGCTCTACCATCCCACAGCT